ATGTCCTTGTCTACATGAATTTGCACCACCCTTTCGCCTTCATGCGAAAGGGTGGTGCAAATTGAGGAAACGTTGCGCCGATTACCGCGAGCGACAAAGCGGCAATTTACGATTGTCTTGCCCGTCTCCCGAAGCACAGTGCGTGTCGCATCCCAAAAGTGATTGCCCAACGCAAAAAGCTTTATCCTTCATCTTTATTTGAGAAATTGTAGCATACTAGTGATATGTACATGATGAGAGACAGTAGTAATTTGGAGATCACTTCATATCACATACGGTACTTGACTCCATTCGGATATTTCATATATTCACCGCATGCCAGAATGGGGACCTTCAATGGAACAAGCCGCCGATAGAACACCATCCACATCAGCAACGTTGCCCCCAATGTGCCCAACTATAAAGAGCACTGTGTCAAACAAAATAAATAAATAAATAAACTGTCATTCGTCGGTGGACTTTATAAGCCCCACTGGATATCAGCGTTCAGGAACTACCTTGGAAGAAGTTTCGGAATCAGGGCACATATAATCGTTGTGGAAATCACAACTGGGGGAGGGGCGTGTTTACCCATTATGTAGTGAGACTTCCGTAAGGCGCGCGACGCGAATAGCAACGGTGAAAGACAAGTGCTTCTCTGTGCTCTGATCAGTTGAACATTTGATAAGGCTGCGCTCATACTCCACGGCAGCCTACGGCAGCGTTAGGCGACTATGAAAGTATCGATCTGCCGTCGCCAGAGTCTACCAGCGACCAGCAGCGTCCGGGAGTGCACAGTATGGGGTTAAGAGGGCAGCACACAGGTGGTAGAGTAGGGGGAGATAAGAGGGTACCAGACTGTTGTGGAGAGTATGGCGCGATAGGAGGCCAACATACAGATGGTAGACTATGGGGAGATAGGAGGGTAGCAGACTGCTGGTAGAGATCATGGCGCGATAGGAGGGTAGGAGACAGCTGGTCCTTTCTACTCCTGGTCCGCTGTTGGCCGCTAGTAGACGCTGGTAGACGCTGGCTAGATCGATATCTAGTAATT